GTCTTAAACAAGTAATTGTCGAATAAATTTGCAGTAATATGACATGTTTCTAACGAAACATAACTAACAATATCACCATTAGGATGTTTGTTAAAGATCAAATGTTTCTCAATGTAAAATTTTGCTTTTGTAACAAATGTTTGATCAACAATTTGTGTAAATTGCAAATCTTTATTTTTTCTCATTTCGAATAAAACAAGCATTGCGTCTAAAAGACGCTGCATATTAACACAAAGTCTAGGAAATATTTCTGCACTTTTTGAATAAAACGATTGAAGATGTGGTTGTTGTCGATCTTTAAATAATCGTTGTCCTTCTGCAATATAATATTTTGCTTTCGTTGTATAGAATCGTTGTGACTCATCATTTCCTAATGAGTCTACAAATGTGTATAAGATTTTTCCCATTAAATGGATAACAACGAATATTTGCTGCATTGAAGGTAAGAATCGATCTGATTTTTTTATCAGGTCATAAGATATTAAATTGTTTTCCACAAAGTGGTACAGAAAACGATTCTCACAACCATCAGATATTTTATGGAACGAATATCGTGCTAAAAGTAGATGGAAAGAACCACCAGTGCATGCACCTAACAATGACAAACGGGCATTTTCAATCGAAAATTCGTACATGCCTGTGGTTTTGGACGATTCTGAGAAGCCATCAAAGGCTTCACATAACAGTGAACGGTTAGAAACCGTTCCCATGTGTCCTAAATCAAAAGATATTAATGTATATCTCGCAATGTCAACTAGAATTCTGCGGATTCAACCTTTTCATTTTACAACCTGACTCCGATTCCAGAAAGTTTCATATCTTTGACTCAGATTTTCACACTTTCAAAAATTTTTATTTTTTACTTCGATTCCTATTCTGAGAAACTTTGATTTTCATAGTAAAAAATGAACGATCTTGGCTAGACTAAAGACTTAGAATTAAGACTTGTATATTTGGATAAACAAGATACGAAATTCAACAAACATAAAACGAAAAAAGTTTTAAGAGAAATCATCTTTATTTGTTATTTTTTTCATGATTTATTAAGATCAAATAGCAATGAGGTCTAAGCCAAAATTTTTAACTCGAAAAGAACTTGCAAAATTTGGTATATGAAAAAGATGAATCCATCAAGTTCGTGCAAAAGAAAAAAAAACTGCATATTCAAATCACTTAGAAAAAAAATTGATGGAGATTTAATCGAAGATGTTCAATAACAATTTGTATCATGTAGTAATTATCTAATGTTACTTGCTTAATAATCAATCAATCAAAACAACAATCTTAAATCTCATCTGAATTATAGAATAGAATTACAATTGCAAAAAAAA